GGTGGGAGCCAGGGGCAGGGGTCCCCAGGGGCACGGAGGGCGCCCACGCCCGGCGGCTGCTCCACCTGCCCCTCCCGTGGCCGGTCCCCGCCCCCCACGACCACACCGGTGGGATTCCTCATTGCTCAGGACTCGGGCGGGGGCTGGGGGGCCCCGGGACCCCCGGCCCCAACCCTAGGGGCGGGCCGCACCTGCGGCATCCTCCTGCAGGGCCTCGTTAATGCAGCTAAGCCCCGCCCTCCCTGCCGGGGGTCGGGGGTGGGGTGCAGGGTGGGCTGAAGTCAGCACTGGTGACACTACAGAGGACCGCGGAGGAAACCGTGGAGTTCGCCCGCCCCCCGCCCCGCCCCTTCCGAGGCCGCTCATCCGAGGGGACACGGGGGTGGGTCGCGACCACACCGCAGTGGCTCAGAGAGAAGGAGGCGACCGTCTTTGGCTTTGGTATTCAAAATGGAAAAAAAAACCCACAAGAAAGTTGTACAGTATTTTTCCTGTAAAGGTTATTATTCTACTTAGAACAAAGATAGAAACGGCACGCGGTGGCGTGGACGCGGCCGCCTCCGGACCAGCCCTGCGCGCGGAGAAGTGTGCAATCTCACGTGGGACCGTGTTTGCGTGTCTGTTAGCGGCCTTGGCAGCCGGAGGCTTGTCTTTCTTCACACTAGCACTGATGGGAGCTGCGTGATTCCAACTTGTAACTTGAATTTTGTAGCGATGAGGAAAAAGGACTATCAATTACTCTTGATACCAGTTTGTAGTTAATTTAACATTTAAGTTTCTCTGGATCGGTTTTGCGTGTGGCTTTTGTAAGGCTTTTTTTCCCCCCCAGTTTGTTTGAACATGTTTGGGGATACAATTCTTGACTAGTGCAACCCACTCAGAAGGGGTTCCCATGATTTTCCTCCTCTTCCTCATCCTCCTCCTCCTCCCGGGAGATGGGGGTCATAGAAGCCCAGAGTCGGGGAAGGGCCCACCTGCACCAAAGGTCGCCAAGGGGAGCCCTACCCAACTGGGTACACGGGTTTACTTTCTTTTTCTTTTGTTTGGTCCTCGTGGCTGTCCACAGCCAGAAAGGCCGGCCCACGTCTGAAGCGGAGAGGGCGTAGGGAGGGTCGCCTGGGCGGATGGAAGTCCCAGGAAGAGACATGGTTGCCCCCCACCCTACCTGCCCCCCTCCAGGGTCTCCCTGAGCCCGCGGACACCGCGTGCTGCTGCTGAATCGTCCGCCCAGACTTTGAGCCCTTGCCCCAGACCCCAGCGTTTGGGGAGGCATTTTGTAAAGGAAAACATTACAAAACAGAAAAAAAAACCAAACACCATTTTTCAATGTAGCAAAATCAAACAAGGAAAAAAAAAAAGAAAAGATGCCGCCACAGTGGGGAAGTCTAACCCTTTGTAACTTCATATTGCACATAGGACTATAAGCCATTGCTAGCTCATTTTGAATTTTAATGTGTAATTTTTGTTTTATTTTCTTTCTGTGGGGAAAACGATGCTTGGTCCACCAATGCTCTTTTTAATGTTTTATAACTATGTATGTGTATATATATAAATATCAAATAATATGTATGCACATATGTGTGTGTATATCTATATGTATATACATATATAGATATATTAGAGATATATAGAGAGGTTTTGAGACAAAAAAAAAAAGGCAGAACATGAAACCTGAACTGAATGGCGTGTGCTCTGATTACTTGAATCTGGTCTCCTCGGCACCTGCGTTATTAAGAACTGAATATTTTTCCACTTGAATTTAGTGCTATTAGAAATTTAATATATGTGTTTTATTTATTTGATTTTTTTTGCATGACTGATGCAAGGTTTGACATTTTCACTCAATAAAAACTGGAAAAAAAATCTATTAAGTTACCTTTTATTTTTAAAAGCATCCCAGGCGGCACTCAATGCATGGTACCGCTAACACACCAGCCGGGCACAGGCTGATCCGTATGCCAGGAGGGAGGGCCCAGGAGCCGGTCACCCTTCAGTCCCTGGCAGGGGAGCAGGGACAGACCAGTTTTTCCCCTGGGCGCTAGGCCAGGCTCTTCGAAGGCTGCTGGGAACTTGGGTCCTGCCTGGTCAGCCAAGCAAAGGAGTGGCCTCATCTACACGCACACACCACCACCACCACCACCTACTCCCCTCCCCCCCCACCACCACCAACAACCCTGCTGGAAGCTTCCAAGGGAGACCAAGGATCTCTACCAGTGAGGCTTTGGGCAGAGGATCTATGTATGGCCTCACAAGACCCTCCCCTGGCCAGCCCCCTCCAGCCGTGGCTACTGGGCAGGCGCTGGCAGGGTGGGCCAGCCTCCTCTCTCAGCTCCTTCCTCCTTCCTGCAGGGACCTGCCCAGGGTTGGAACCAGGCGCGTACCCGGATCCATGCCGGATGCTGGCTCAGCTCCTGCCCAGAACACGAGGTAGCAGAGCCAGCAGAGCTGTTTGAGGGCTGGGCCTGAGCTGTGGGCTCCGGGTACAGGGGGCCCAGAAGGCAGGCCTTAGTGTCCATCAAGATAATAGGCAGTAGCAGCCAGTGTGATTGAACGCATCCTTGTCCTCTTGCCAGTGCCCCAGGTGGCAGGGGTGGCCCGGAGCTGCATTCCGCTGCCCCCTTTGGGGGCGTATCTGGGAGTCTGTCCGAACAGAGAGGATGATGTCGCACAGCCTTGCCCTCCCTCCTGCCTGGTTGGCCCACACCCACCAGGACCACAGAGCACAGGGGCCCGTGGTCCCAGGGGATCGGGGAGCCACTCCCAATGTCACTTCTACCACAAATGCTGCATTTCCGCCCTGCCCTGGGGCCCTTCCCTCTTCCCTCCCTCCTTGGATCGCAGCCCATGGGCTATTTACATAAATATGTTTGTAACAGACTTGAAAACATATACTTTTTTCTGTCTTATTAAAACGTTCAAGTTGGAACTCGCCTATTGTTTGTGGATCTCTCGATTCTGTTAAATAAAACAGTGACTAATTTATGGGATAAAACACAAGTTCAACAAATTAAAACCATTATTGGAGCTTCACAGGCCCCGGTGGGCTGAGCAGCCCTCCCTCGGGGCCCTGGGCGGCCGGGTGCCAAGTTCCCACCTCAGCGGGCAGGCAGTGGGGTGGTTGAGTGGTGCAGACCGCAGGGCTCCCTCTGGGGGCACAAGGGCAAGGGCAGTCCAGCTGTTCCTCTCAAAATCCCTTAGCGCTGACCGTGGCCGCCTCAGGGACTCGGGGCCCCAGGGAGGCAACCTGGGGCTCAGGCAGTTAGCGGACCTTGGCCAGGCCCAGAAGTATCGCACTTTCCACCTGCCCCTAGGTCTCTGGGCCTGTTCAACCTCAGCAGATCACATGGCATTGCTGAGGGCAGGGCCAGCTTCCAGGTCGGATTCGAGAGAAGGCCTCATGAGGGTGCAGGGACTGATTGTGAGGGAGGGGGGAGGTGCTGAATCCCCCCCCTCCCCCCACGCACTTGCAGAAGAGCCTCGGAGACAGTAAGGACACTGCCCCAGACCAGGGGCACCACAAACCCTGTTCAGCTGGCGGCTGGGTGGCTGCCATTCCAGGAGGTATCCCCCCACCGGCCCGCTGGGCCCTGGGGTGTGGGGTGGCCCAGGCCCCTCAGGCCACGCCCTGTGGCTCCCTGGGCTTGGTAGGAGTACAGTAAAACGCGTTTAATTAGCTGTGTGGTGTGATGCTCCCACACACCCAAACTGGGGCAAACTCGGGAGTTTTGTAAGCTCTTGGAGAGCCAGAACCAGCGGCACGGGGGTGCAGTGGCGGCCCGCCGCCCACAGAGCTGGCTGGGCCCCTAGCAGCAGCTTGAGTCATCTGCCGGTGCCAGGCTTGGGATTCTAGAGCGGCCTCACCCGGGTCTCGGACGAGCAGCAGCAGGACCGACCCCTCTGGGCAAGCACACACAGGCCACAGGGCCAAGGGAATGTCCACTGAATGCCCGGTGTCCCCTGAATTCCAGGAGAGGCACAGAGTGGGGTGGGGAAGAGACTGGCTGGCAGCAGGCTCCTCAAACGGGCTGGAATCCTGAGGCCACAAGCCAGGCCTTCTTCACCCACCCTGGGAGGGGGGCTCCCCCACCCAGTCACCTCGGGAGGGAGCAGCAAGCCCCAGCGGCTCATCTGCCCAAAAGCCACACACCACAGGTGACGGTGGCCAGGGATGGTCAGACGTCACCTCCAAACCGAGAGCAGAGCCTCCACAGGCCCCGTCCAGCCCTCAGCCCTGCCTAGGGCCTCCCCCAGGCCTGGCAGCCACACCCAGCATTTACTTGGCAGTCCTGGAAACAATTCTCCGGGGCTGGCAGGTGGGGTGGCAGGCTGGCAACTGAGCTTCTTTTAGTCAAGCGCACCCCCGCCGCCCCCTCCCAACGGCCCGCCATGGGGAAAGGTGGGGCTTCAGGTATCACCCTTACGAAATTAGAATAAAAGCTCGTGTACTCCTCCGTGAGAACATACGCTTTAAAGCGCTTGATGAAAGTAAACTATTAAGGTTTGTTCATGATCCAAGCGAAAGTCACCCCGCAGCACTAGACTCATTCTCAAACCCCTGCATGAGGCGGGGGTGGGCAGCGGACCTCTGCAGCCGGGCGCCTGCTCCCCTGCGGGAGAGAGGGCAGCCCACCAGGGGGCACGGAGCTCGGGAAGGCACGGCCACTCGGCCCTTGAACAAGCCAGGCCCTGAGGGCAAGCTTGGGCACCGGTCAGCATGGCCTCCTGGCCCCGAGGGAGAAAGTGGAGAGGAGGGGAAGCGGGAGCGTGGCAGCCAGGGCCTGTTCTCTCCCTCCCTTCTTACGAGGCCTTGACGGAAACACACACGAGGTGGAGACACTGTGGGGTGAGTCACCCCCTGAAATGCCTCCTGCCCCACCTCCCGGCCCCTTGGTGGCTTTGGGTGCTGGCTGGCCAGGGAGGAGAGGTCTGGGCTGGCGGCCTCGGCGCAGCGCCTCCAGGTGTCCACGCGCACGGGGCTTGCGCTGCTCTGGGTTCCAGGAGGGAAGCCCACCTGGCTTGCCTGTCTCAGGCCCCCGGCAGGGGGCTGGGCCCCACTGGCCGTGCCAGCCCTTCTGTGTCTGCCGGCCTTGCAACCTCTGCACGTACACAACCTGCAGGTGCTATCGGGCAAGCACCAGGCTGCTGACCCCCACCCCCGTCAGCGCCTCACACTCGCCAGCCACCGCCAGGGAGGGAGAAGAGGCTGTCTGGGCCTGGGGAGACCGACTCCAGGGTGGCTCTGGGGCAGAAGGGACTGGATGGTAGTGGGTGGGTATGGACACCGGGGCTTCAGGGAGCTTGAGGGGAAACTGGAATGGACAGATAATGGAATCTTTTCGCCAAGGCTGTGAGGCGTCTCTGGGACTTATACAAGAACTCTTGGTAGGTACAGAGACTGCCTCCTCTGTGACGTCCACAGGAGGCCCTGGGACACATCCTGCAGGACGGGGGGCCTGGGTTTTGACCCTTTCGAGGTGTTGGTCTTGGGGATGTGACTGCCATGTGTCTCAGAGCACCCCGGGGTGGGGGTGCCCAGCCGCCTGGCCTGTGCCCCAGGCTCCGAGGGGGCCATGCCAATTGGCTAAGCAGCTGGCTACCCCACGGGCAGAGGCGCAGAGATGAAGGCAGCCGGGAGCCCACGAGGCCGTGTGGGCAGAGCTCGGCCGGGAGGGCCAGGAGCACACCCTCCGCGTGCAGAGCGCCTGGGCCGCTTCTGTCTACAGAAATACATCGTAATTGAGTTTAATAATCTTCCCCCTTCCAGAAAGGGTCTGACAGGCGCTGCCTGCTGCTCACTTCTGCCTCATTCCAAATATTTTTACCTTATTTGGATGAAATGCATTATTTTTCTAATGAAAGACTTTTTTTTCCAAAGGGCTGTTTTCCCTCCGTCCAGCAGTGCCTTTATTAGGCAGCACTCGTGCCGTTTGGGGAGGGGTTTTTCTCCCTCTGAAACCTGGCCAGGGCTCTGTCCTCAACGCCGAATTCGGTACTCCAGGCCCACAGGAGCCAGCTCTGCCCCCCGCCACCACCGCTCATGGGCCCCAGGCACCCTCGACTCTCAGGCCCCCAGGCTGCGGGAAGCTGCAGGGCCGCCCCCACCCCAGGAGCCCTTCCCAGTGGGCCGGTTCTCAGGGAGAATGGAGACCCCAAGGGGCCGGCCAGCCGGGCTTCACCAACCCACCAACTGCAGGTGTCTGCACGTCGGTCACCAAATGGTCAGCAAAGCAGGGAAGTGACTCCCCTGGGAGCCCCGGGCTGCTCAGAGCCAGGTGTGCTATGGCCCCGGGGCCTGAGGTTGGCAAACGTGAGGTGAGGTGGAGCTGCGGGGGGCTGGTCCATCAGGCTCTGCTGAATCACAGGGTGGGGGGGGCGGGGTATAAGGTAAATGGGACAGACCTTGGAGGGTCGCATGAGGCCTCTCATCGGGGCAGGGGAGTGGGCCCTGAAAGGGGGTGAGGTGCGTGGAGGCATGTCTTCTGAAACAGCTCCAATGCCAAGTCACCTCCCAGCCTCTGGCTGACTGTGTGGCCTTCCTGTGACCCCCAGGGCTGCCAGGCAGCCAGCGCAGATGCCCACTCTGGCAAGGCGGCCTGGAGCCACGGAGCGGCACCTACCACGCGGGCACTCTCCACCACCTGGCACTCGTCATCTCCGAGCTTGGTGTCACACAAGGCACACGACCCGGTAATGTCCCTGTCCCCACGTGGTCACCCCCAGGGCAGGAGGCTGCAGAGGTTCCTGGACACAGCTCCCGCTCTGGGAAGGTTACAGGGAGGCGGGAGGAGGAAGAGGCCGAGATACCCGCTCTCCTGGGGAAGGAAGCACCCATCCATTTAAGGCATGAGAACTCATCCCATCCCTCGGCAGGTCTATATACAGTCACACGAGGGCCCTTCTGAGAGTGCAAATGTCGCCGGCAGCAGACACCGGGCCTGGGTGCTGGTGAGGAGCCAGGGGGCCCTGAGGGGAAAGGGCTAGGCCAGGGCCAGGAAGGTCGGGGCAGCCCCTCCCGGGGTGGCCTGTGGGGAGGGGCTTCAGTCGAGACCCACTCTGAAGGCCAATTCGTGAGAGACAGGGAGCTGCAGGCAGGGATTAAATAGCGGTAACTCATATTTATTACAAGTATATACAGTCATATCTTATATTTCGCATCTATACATGATCACACAAATGAACATGTTTCTGGTCAGATGACAGACACAGCTGTCAGAAGGCCCTGAGGCCGGCTCCTGTGTGGGGCTGAGGGCCACATCTTGCCACTGGTCAGCTGAGGCCACGATGCAGCAAGCGCGGGCAGTCAGGGGATGGTGTGATTTCATTTCCTAGGAGGACCATGGGGCATGGCAGGAGCTGGGCAGAGAGGGCAGGGCGCACTGGCTGGGTAGGGCCTGGCTGCACAGCCTGGGAGGCTCGGCAGGGCCAGGCCTTCACTTCTGGGCACAGGCCCCTGATGCCAAGAGAGGGGAGCCCTGGGTGAGGGGAGGGAGGGGTGTCAGGCCCGTTGGGGAGTGGAGGGCTGGGAGCAGCTGCACCTGTCTCTACCAAGGCGCTGGAGTCAGGTGATCCAACTACCCCGTCATGCGTAGTGTTAAGGTGGTGTTACGGTGAAGCCACTTGGCAGACAGACCCTGGACAAGACGTCGGCTGGGAGGAGCTGGACCAGGGGCTTGAGGGCAGCGGTTTCTGGGCCTCCAGCTGGGCACGCAGAGGTCAAAGGCTGGTCCCATTTGGGAGAAAGCTGAGGCGGGCTGGGCTGGGCTAGCGGGCCAACAGGAGGAGGGTAGGAGTGGGGGCAGGCAGAAATGTGATCACACAGCAGCGGCCACCATGGGGCGAGGGCAGCTCTGCACCCCAGGGTGCACGCGACCGGCTGACAGTCCCGCGGGAGGGTGGGGGCGGAGTAGCGGCCTGGGGCCTAGTTCCGCTCATGCTCATTGCTGGCGCCCTCCGGCCGCCGTAGCTTGTCCACCTGCTCGTTGATTTGCCCGTCGCCGCCCCGGCGATCCTCCCGCTGCACGCAGTCCTCCTCGCCGCCGTGGCCGACGTCATCCTCCTCCTCTTCGTCCTCCTCCTCCCGCTGCTCCTCCTCGCCCTGCACCTCCATGCGCACCTGGCCCTGCACGTCCAGCAGCCCCACGTCCTCCTCGGCGGGGCCCAGCAGGTGGTACGTGGAGCCCTCGGGGCTGTGACCCTCCTTGACTGGGGAGGACGAAGCGGACTCGTTGCTGACAGGCGAGATGTCGCTGCTGCTGTGATGGTTGGCCGCCGCCGGGCTGGAGGGAGCCGGGGACTTCACTGGGATCTGCCAGGAGGGGATCTTGGGTGCAGAAGGCGAGGGAGAGGGCGGGAACTGCCTCCTGGTGGGGTGGGGTGGGGTGGGCGGGAGGGAGGGGGAGGACGGAAGTGGTGATGGAGCCTCTGGGCTCCCATACCCCCAAGGTCCACCAGCTGCCCACTGAGCCCCTTCGTCCACTGGAAGCCAAGCTAGTCCTGGGCAAGGCCTGGGGACCTGTCCCACCCGGGAGCCTGTCCTTCCACATGCATCCACAGGCAGAGAGGGGAAAGGCAGGGGCACACAGGTTAGTACTGGGTATCCCCCGCACCCTAACCTGTCTATAGCTAAGAAAAGGTGGCAGGGTGCAAAGGAGGGAGTCAGGTGCACCCTGCAGCAGCTCTGTCCTCATCCGATCCCGGGTTACCCTCAGCCCTGTACGGGGCCCAAACCAGGCAGGGCCAAAGTTCGGAGGCACCCATTCCTCCCAGCCACGGCTTGGATATCAGCTCTACATGGGGTATGCAGGCCTCCGCCGCCCAGCTGAGATCAATGCCCCAGTGAGGCCATCCTGGGGCAGCATCGTGGTTCCTGGGACACAAGCCATTTGGTTTGAAATCCAGGACAGTCCAGGACAAACCAGGGTGAGCAGGTCACTCAGAACTGTGAGGGGACAGTAGCCTTTGTTTGGGGTGGGGGAGGCACTCTCCCAGAACGGGGCAGCCGAGAAGCTGGGGGCCAAGCTGCTTCTGCCTGTGCCTGAGCCCAGGCCCGCTGTCCGGAAGCTCGCCGGGACCAGGCTGTCACTGGGAGGTAGGGTCCAGTGGAGGGCTTGAGAAGGTAAAAAGAGGCGGCCCTGTCTGAACCCTCATCCTTGGAGGGGCTAACCTGCGGACCATCTCTACTCAAAGGGCGCACGGCTGTCCTGGACTCCCTGGTGACCAGGCCTGAGGACCTGTCTGCAGAGGGAGTGGGCCTCATGGGGTCACCCTTAAGAGTGGGCAGTGGGCCCCTGAGGAGGGAAAGTGGAAGCTCAAATACGCCCCCACATCATGCGTGAACCAACCAGCATCTCGGGCTGGGCAGACAGGGTGCCCAGGGAGCAGGGAGGTGAGCCCACCCAGGAAACCCTCGCCCTGCCCACCCCACCCTTCACGGAACCCGGGCAAAAGGCAGGACTTCCTACCGGGTTAAGAGCAAGCCCTTCAAGGAGCTGATTTCCGACTTGAGCTCACTGATGTGCTGGGACTCCAGGACCCAGTTGGTCGATGTGGTGGCCTGTGAGTGACAGCACAGAGACCGCCCATCAGAGGGACGTCTGCAGCCGGCAGACCTTCCCGAGCCTACCGCTGTCTGCAGCCTGGAGGGGCTGCCTCCCTGGTTTGGGCTTTGGCGTCTTACTGTGAATGGATGAAGGTTCCCAGAGCAGATCCGCTTTCACTCAACAACTTGATCACATCTTGTTTCTTCACATCCAGACACTATCATCACTTCGCGCTCTTCCTCCTCCTCCCCACAGTCCACCTCCCTTCCCGATGCCCTGGGCTTTATTGTGGTTGAGTGTTGCCGCCAGGCATGGAAGGGCCCGGGGTTGCTGACTGCCCACCTCCTTAGTTCCCCAGCACCACCAACCCCGCATCCTCTGTAGTCGTCTCTCCCCCCAGCAGTACTCTGGGGCGGCGCTGAGGCTCCACAGAAACAGCAGCTCCTCCCTCCAGAAGGCTGACAAGGAAGCCACTCATGGTACCCTAACCATGCCAGGCTTTGATGCACTCTCTCCCCCTTTGAACGTGACCAAAGAAAACCCAGGTGACCCCATCTTCCTCTCAGCTCATCTGGCCAGGACTCATGAAACAAGAGCAGCTCTACAGCACACCCCCACCAGGCGGCTCCGGGCCCAGGTTGCCTGTGAGCGGCCCATAAGGTCACGTCCACAGGGGATGGCCTAGCATGTGCCTGCTCTCGCAGGCCGGAGGCAGCCTGGAGCAGTCTTAAGGCACTGGAGAATCTGGCAGGCTCTGGCTCCCCCATGACTGCTGCCCTGCCAAGCACGGGGTGTGGGGCGCCCACAGGCTGGGAGGGGTTCCTGGGATGCCCGCAGCTTGTCAGCTGCAGGTCTGGGATGGCCAAGAAGAGCCCCGCCTCCATAGCTGGAGCCGCTGCCCCGAGCACACCAGGAGGCGCATGCCCACCTGCCACCCTCGCCCATACCACCTGGGGCCCCCAGACAGCAAAGAGCCAGAAGCCACTGTGCTGGCTGCGGCAAGCGCCGGGTGCTCCAGCAGCCCATTAACCAGGGAGCAATTTCCACTCTCTAGTCCACAGGGGACTCGGGTTTCCAAACTTGAATGGTGCCAGATGCCTGAGATTTAGAAATAAAACCTGACATCTGGGGCTTTTTAGCCAGTCTCTTTAAAAAAAAAAAAAAACAGTTGTAGAAAACTCAGAGTCTTCAGTTTTATGTAGGTTTTTTAATTACTTGAAGCTCTTCTTTTTAATTTTTTACAGTGCTCCAGTAGGAGTTTGGAAGTCAGTATAAAAACTCACACTGCAGCTGAGGCAACACAGCCCTGCTGCACTGTTTTATGGGGGAACTCGAGTTGGCACCATTTGGGGCCTAGACACCAGCCCAGCGGCTCCTCTTCAGGACAGAGGGACAGGCACAGGAGACCCCCCACAGCCCCTGACCCTGGCACACTCTTACAGGCCTGCAAGCCAAGACAGAACCCGGGCCCCTCCTTCTGAGCTGGGAACATGTGCTCTTCATCTCACGCTTAAGGCCTGAAAACAGTTTTCCAATTTCCGGAATGGCTTCTAGCCATTGGCAGGCCTCTGCTCCACAAGCTACTAGAAGGACGGGGGTGGGGGTGGGGGCCATAAACACCTCCTGGCCGGCAGGAGGAAGCACACCACGAAGGGGTGGCCACAGGCATCCTTGGACCCATTATGGGATGGGGCGCTCAGGACCCTCCTCATGAGGATGAGCCCATTTCCACCGGAAATGGAAGGATTCCTATTCCACAGGTTTTCAAAAAATGCAAAAATCTGATCATGCAATTGGAGGTGGGGCACCCCCTTTGGAGAGCGCCTCAGAGGGCTCTCTCAAGGCAGCAGAGTGAGGTGGCAGTGGTGGGGGGCGGAGCGCCCTGGGGCGCCAAGGGCTGCGGAGCTCAGGCCTTTGGGGAGCACACAGTAGAGCAGGAGAGAGCCAGCTCTTGTACCCGGGAAGGCCTGGGCATGGTCTCCAAGCAAGGATATCGCGGAGTGGGCCTGCAGACCCACAGTCAGCCGAGAGCGCCTGGGGGCTGGGCCCCTGGGGCAGGGGTGGGGGGCAGGGTGGGGGAGCAGGAAGGCTTTGCAGTCACCTTTGGCTAGAGGGCCCTTTCTCTGCCGTCAAGCCCCAGAAAGCACCAGGGCACCAGTTCCCCCAGGAGTGTGCCCTGTCCCACAGAACCGGGGCCAGAGGCCTGCAAGGAGGGACCAGCTGAAGACAGGCACTGCTCTTAGCATGCATGGACCATAGAAGGAAACCAAGACCCAGAGAGCCTAGGTGACTTGCCTCCAGTCACACAGCCAGTTTTCACCTGGACAGCGTGGCCCCACGCCTCAGCTGGTAATGGCCGGTGCAGGGGGGGCGTGGGGGAGCAGGGGCTTGCTCACCCGACTCCATAGACCGAGATCTGGAGGACCTGTCCCTCCCACAGCCAAGGGCCTGGTGCTGGCAGAACAGGGGCTGCTCAACGGTCTGTGACCACACTTCCCTGTTCTCTGGAACTGTCTCCTGGCCGCACGTGCAGGCGGACACAGGCCTCGACGCTTTGGGAATGAAGCTGGCTGCAAGAGCAACCCCCTGCCACTAGGGGGTGAACTGGAGAAAGGGCAGCTCAACTGTGGGGTGCCCACCGCCGCATGACTGGAGCGGAGAGAGCCGGGCGCCGGCAGAGAGAACCAGGCAAAGGCGGGCAGGGCCCGGGGGCAGAGACGAGTACCTTGGCAGTGGCCAGTTCCTGGGCGAGCTCCTGAACTTTCTGCTGTTGCTGGATGAGCAGCTCCTGGACAGAGGCTAGTGTCGTCTGGACCTGCGTCACTGGGGGGGTGGGGGAGGGTATAGGGAGAGCCAGCCGCCTGGTTGGTAAATGGCTCCACACAGCCTGCCCGCTTCCTGTCCACACACCTGCGAGCTGCCCATTTTCCTGCTACATCTAATTTATCTGCAGACACCCCCATCCATATAATTTATCGGCACCCTGGGTAATCTACCTGCACTGTATCTAACCTCTAGTATTTCTACTTTATCTTTCTATTGTGTGGTTGTCCGTGGTCAACAGTATATCCGTCCAAAACCTCTCCCCTCTAATTACATCTAGCTGTGATCTACCCGGCTCACCCAGCTTCTGGAGCGCGTGTCCCTCGGCTCTCGGTGTCCTTGTGGAACTGGGGGAAGTCCCCCGTCCTGGCAGACAGGCCCCTGAGGTCATTGCCGCAACTCAGAGAGAGCAGTCTAAACCTCCTTGCTCCTTGCTCCCGCCTGCCCCAGGCACGCCCAGGACCCGGGCCCTGGTCAGAGCGTTCGCAGCGTGGCCCAGGGGGACACAGTCGCTGGCCTGGGACAGGTGGCTCTCCTGCCTGCCTCGGATCTTTGAATTCTGAGCCTCTATCTCGTAAACAAGTTTATAAAGGAGAGAAGCCACCTCTGGTGCGACAGGTCCCAGCTAATCTGGGCCATCATGGGGGCGCTGGGTAATGAACGCGAGCCCTGTGGAGTCGATAACAGAGGAGGTGGCCGAGGTCACAGGAGCCGCAGTAATTACAGACTCTCTTGACCCTGCTTTGGATTCTTAGAGGGAAGGGGGAAAAATCACCGAAAACCCCCCTGAAAACCTCATAGAAGCAGAAATTAAAAATGAACTTTACAGCCCTTAGAAAGGCTGTCATTTTATTCCCCTTATTAATATTCTGAGGTTGGGAGCCTTTCCGTAAAAACATAATTAATTGAGGCCGCGCCGACAGTAAACAAGCAATTTCAAATTAAACCGAAATGACGGCGGCTTCATTTGCAAATGTGAACAGATTCTCAGAGCAGATAAATGAAGTCACCACATAAAGTGGAGACGGAGGGGCGCGGGGAGGGGCGGCCAGGGGCTGCGCGGAGGCTCTGAGGGGTGACTTGATGGAGTCATTAATCTTTACCTGTCTGGGCCACGCTGCCACTCAGCTCCGAGAGGCTCGCCTCCATCCGCTCCAGTTGCTTCCTGTCCTCTCTGCCGCCCACGATGAGGGGGAGCAGGTATTTCTGCAAGAAGTGGGGTGGCGTGGGGACGGCACCCAGCGCCGTGGGGCCCCTCGTCAGCAAACTCCCACACGCCTCCCGCTCGGCCCGGCTTCGAAACCCACGGCAAACACCGTCAAGGAAGAAGACACATGTGAAGAAGTTTGGAGCTGTTGATAGCCGACACGTGGCAACGGTCTGGCTGAGGGGCGGGGACTCCGTTCTTTAGACCTCTTGGTGATGCCGCCACCGTTTCTGTCCCAAAGTGTGTGTCTGTCTGTCTGTCTGTCTCTCTCTCTCTCTCTCTCTCTCTGGTGGGGAACTGAAAGGGTTGTATTTTCAAAGTTCTCAGAAGAGTCATGTGCCTGAATTGCCCACTCAAATAAATGAGTAAAATTGCATTTTTTTAAAAATACATACTGAGAGAAACTAGAAGAAAATCAACAACAGATTGGGTGAATGCGATTCTTTTCCAAGAGCCAGTTGCTGTCAAGTTGACTTGGATTAGTGTGCCAGAAGAGGGCTGTGCTTCCAAGAGCTGGTTTTTCCGAAAGAGCCAGGCCTTTCTTCCGAGTGCATCTGAACGGACCAGTCCTTGACTGACCACTGCGTGCAGTGACCAGGGACTCCTGCTCTTTCATTAGGTTTGATAGATGGGTATCGCGAGCCTGTTGATAGAGCCCCAGACCCTCAAGTTCCCGTGAGTGAGATGCAGTCCATTTCCCTCGAAGCGGGCCGACAAGGTGGCACTGGGGACAGCCAGAAGGAACTGTCAAGGTGAGAGAGCAAGCTGATCCCCTGGGGCTGTTTTGGGGTCCAGCGAGAGAAGGCCAGGGGCTCAGAACCTTCTGGAAGAAGGTGGCGGCACCGCTGGTAACTAGCTCTTGGACTTAGCAGTCAGGGCTGGCTCCAGGTGACAAGAATGTGTAGGCTGAATCTACATGCCCAGGACGACTTGGGAGACAGGTGGAGGGGTGGGGTGGGGGGTAGGGGGCACCAAGTCACCCACCTTGAGCAGGGTGGTGCTCGGGCGGCCATGGCTAAGGTCCCTCGGGTGTAGCTAAAGGGCAGCCTCTTACTGCCTTTGGGCCCCAAGTCAAAGCACGAGTCAGCAACTTCTCCATTAAGGTTTCCGTGCCGGGGAAGGGAAAGGAGGTCTCTCACTGGGGTTTGTGGAGAACTCATTTCCAGAGTGACTCCTAAGTGCGGATCCTGATTTAGCATATGTAGAGCAACATTTTCTATTCGGTAAAGTGCTTTTCAACCACGGTGTGAGTTATTACCCACCACCGAGACGAAGCTGGTCAGAGGTGGCCTCACATTTCAGACGGAAAGCGTCCTAAGCATGAAAGTCATCCCTTAGCCTAACTGCTGTGTACCTCTAAAACAAGAGGATGAGCGAAATCATCCGCAGATGTTTTAGAAATGTTCTGGCCACCCCCATGACCGAGCCTTGGGAGTCTCCCATGCCTTTTAAAGTGACACCCCCTGGGTGGCCGTGCACACCCAGAGGGGCTGGTGGTTCTCTGGGCAGACCCCTAGGGAAGTGGGTCTAACTCTCCGGATGCTGGTGGAGAATGCGGAGTCTGCCTTCTTAGTGACTGCCTGCAGTCAGTGATTGAAAAGGCTGTCTACGCTCAGGTGAGGCGCTAGCTCCGAGGAGCAGCGCTCTACACCCGGTTCCTGGCGTGGAACTCCCGGCTCCAACCCAGGGGCAGATGCAACAGGGCAGAACTTCTTGTCTGCTGCTCCGCTGTCATTAGCTTTGCACGAGGTCAAAAGTTAAGAAACCCAGAGTGCACTATGTAAACATGCTTCCTGTGCCAGCATTTACAACAGTGAGCCTGGGTACTCGCACAGGTTCTTTAAAAATCATCTCCAAATAAGGGGTTGAGCTGCAGCCTTGGGAGGACAAGGGGTTTCTGGCGGGGCCAGCAGAGCGGTCCCCCTGGCCACTTCTATATCTGGTGTCTCCAGGGTCTGTCCCCATCCTGCCTCACCTGGAAGGAACACAGGTCAGCTTCCGACCAGAGGTGGCCCTGCAGCCTGCTGTACAGGATGAGCCTGGGAGCTGACTAAGGAAGGTGAGGACATCCAAGATTTAGATGGAAATCAAAACCAGAGTGGAGTCAAAGACCAGCTCTCCCCCACGCCAGAGTCTGTTCTCATTACACAGAGCCTCTTGGCGCTGCCCTTGACCAGCAGCCAGCATGTGGACCAGGTCTGGCTCTGAGCACTTCCCATGTGTCTTCTTCTTCATAACCACCCCCATTCTACAGAGGAGAACACAGAGCTAGAGAGGGGCAGTGATCACCTGTAGTCAGAGGGACCACGTGGCAGAGCCAGGTGACTCCAGTGTCCACACTCTTAACCACGACGTGGTACTGTGTGTCTGGCACCACTAGAAGTGCTTGACAAGGGTGACTCATAGGTGGCCCTGTGCAGCAGAGCCTGGCTGTGGCGTGAGGGAACTCGCCGAGGTTCCCCAGCTGGGTGGAGACGGGCTTGGGCCAGGAACTGGGCAGAGCCTCACTCTTTGGTGGTGCCCCCCACCCCCGGAGAAACCCACGGACAACCAGCAGGGCAGCAGGCCGGTGCCGCGCTGAGAAGGGCAGGCTCACCTTGTAGAGCTGGTGAAAGCCGAACGCGATTCCTGCCGTGATGATGGCCAGTGCCCCGTAATCCCTCCATCGGGAGCCTGCTGGGCCTGGGGGGCGGAGAGAGCAGTCAGGAGAGAGAGAGAGAGAGAGAGAGAGAGAGCACAGGGGAGGGGCTCAAAGGCCAACGATGAGAAGAGAATGGTTGTTAGTAGTGGCCACTCAGGCCCCTGCTGCTAGCTGGCTGCCGGACTGACCTCACTGGGAAGGTAAGGGGTGTCCCTACACGGACAATGTGTCTACTGTGTGCTGGGAGGTGGGGTGAGGGGGCGACACAGCCATGTTTCAGAACCCGGGGATGGGGTGGGGCCCATTCAGACAAGCGCATCTCCTCTCCTTCCAGGACCAGCAGCCAGACCTCAGCACCCACGGAGAAGGGTCCAGATGGCCCCAGAAGCAGGCGGTTAGAAGGGAACCAGGAGCGAGGCGAGGAATGAATCTCCTTGGCAGCACCTGTCGATCGCCGGCCCCCTCTCCCCGTGGAAGGCCCAGAGCCACTTGACAGGCGCCCGTGTCCCACAGCTGAAGAGCAGGCAGTGGGAGTTTGCTTCAAGGAGGGCGGCCCGGTGACAAAGGCCCCAAGTGGGAAATGGGAGGCCCCTGGCTCTGTGCTGCAGACTACGCCTTCTGGAGGTGGAGGTGACCGTGACAGGAGCACGGGAGGGGCCCCGCTCCACACGAGGTTTCCCACCTGGGCCACCCCAAAGTGGTTCCCAAAACTTTAATCAACACATACGCGGTCTCGTCCTCAGACTTCTGCTCCATTTTTGTTTTACACTTTTGAACCCTGACACGCTCAAAGGGCTCGAGCAGCCCAGGTGGGGGTTCTGTGGAGCCATTCTACCACACGTGACCCCTGTGAACAGGCCCACATTTATCCTTCCAGAGAGTTCCATGCACCCTGAAGGCCATGTAGAGAGGTATTCCTTTACCTTCCCTCCCTTTCCACATTAGTCTTTCCTTCTTGTACAAGACTCTACTCCATCAGTGGACATCCAGATCACTCCGCTCTTCCATGATTTCACACGACGCTCCACCAGTGACTTGGCAGCTATGTCCCCTCATGCGTATGGACAAGGCCACCTCTACACGTGAATTCCTCGGGGGCTGGGTCAGGGGTACCTGGGGGAGCCAGCACGCAACAGGTCTGCCTCATTTGCCACCATGGACAGGGTGTGGCTCACCATCTTCCTGTCGCTCCCATTCGGGAAAGAATGTGCGCTTCCCTCCCTGCTGGCCCTGTCCGCTAAGTACATGCTGGACTGCTAACCGCACAGTCGGCCATTCAAAGCCACCAGCCACTCCAAGGGAGGAAGATGAGGCTGTATGCCTCCGAAAAGATCTAGTCTCGGAACCCAATGGGGCAGTTCTGCTCCGCGCTAGAGGGTCACTAAAGTTTGGGCTTTTGGTTTTTCTCGGGCAGGTTTCCACCTTACACAGGTTCTGACTTTCACAGGTTTGACCCTATCCACATTCGCAAACTTTGATGGATGTGCCAAAGTGACCCGAGGGGGTGAGTCAATCCACATGCCCATCAACCATCTATTCGACTGCTTTCCCTGCCCCAACCGAAGGAGCTCTTCAAGCAGAAAGGCCGAGCTCCCATCTAGTCCTGGCGCTCCCATCTCTCTCACAAAGGGGGCGGAGCTTCTGCCCACGGTGCTTCTGCTCTCCCACCGCACGTTTCCCATCCGATGTCTTTGAGCGATTCAGTGAAGCAGCTGAGACAGTCAGGAATTTCACCCCTTTGTCGATGGTGGGTGGGAGAAAGATGAGGCTCTCTACCCCAGAAAGAGTTACAGCCTCGTTGTCTCTCCTAAAGCCCTGGCCCAGTGTCCCCACGACCTCGTGGAGAGACTCCGGCGATGGTCAATGCTGCTGTGACTTATTCCAAGTCTCACGGGGCCACATTTGGGCACTATGCCAAGGTGGAGCTTCCTCCCACCCCTGCCGAGAGCCCGACAGCCATTCAGAGACTGAACACATAGCCATTCGTGCTCAGCCTGGCAGCTCTGCTGAATGGTTTGGTGGCCAAGGACGTGTGGATGTGGTTTTATGTTGACCAGATCATAGGCAGGCGAGGCATCATTGGCTATGATGTTTGAAGACCAGTCTTCAACACCCGATGATATCGGTTTACTACTTGAAGGTTCTTGGACCATGTGTGATTAGACTGCTCTAATGAAGAAATCATTCTTTCTAAAGAAAGAAAGGAGGAAAGCGAGCTTTGGAAGCGCACAGGGCAGGTCTCCTCTGCCCGACAGCAGGGTCGTGTGAGGCAGCATGGACCCGATGGCCGTGAGTTTGGGTCTGGTTTGAATCGATGCTGGGGAAGCACAGCACTCTCCTCTCCGCCCACTGAACCCCGAAGAACTCCCTCTGCAGTGCCCCCCTCCCCCAGCCACTTGTTAAGACTTACTCCTCAGGAAGGCTTTGTCCCCACCCAGAATGCTCACCTGTGCAACCACCTTCCTGGGAGAGCGCCACCTTTCAGGTGAGGGGTGTTGGGGAGAGGGTCACACTCACCGCTGCTGTTGAAACGCCCACTAGCTATCTAACAAGACAGAGGCAGTTACTGGGCTCCAGGTCTGACCAGACCAGATGCCACCTTTGCATGATTCTCCTACTTCCCTGCCCACAGACTGCACGTGCACCTCGGTGCTCTGCCCAGCTAGCTAAGACAGAGGCAGTTACTGGGCTCCAGGTCTGACCAGACCAGATGCCACCTTTGCATGATTCTCCTACTTCCCTGCCCACAGACTGCACGTGCACCTCGGTGCTCTGAACAGCAGGGGGAGCCTTGGGGGGGGGGCAGTCTGGGGCCCCAGATCCCTTCTGCAGCCGAGCACTGCGTCTCCTCAGGTCCCAAGAAACACCTGTGGTTCCCTGCAAGCTCACCTTTCACCCTCACAGCTCCTCTGCTCCTGCCAGGCTCACACGCGTTAAGAACATTTTATTGCCCCCTGGTTTTCATTATTAATGAAAAGGGACCAGAATGATCTTTCCTAAAGTTCAGAGAGTCTATAAAGACAAGAAGCTGAAATGCCATTTTACTCGTTTTGGAGATGTGTGATACAATTCTGTCTTGTGGCAAGATGGAGATGGGGAAAGCCGCAGCGGGGCAGACTGAGCTCAAGCCTGCTCCGGGAAGGGAGACAGACCCTGGCGCTGCCAGGCGCCCTAAGACCTCCCGCCCCCTCCCAAGCCCCACTGCTCTGTGCAAGCCCATGGCAGACCCCATGAGGGAACGGAGAGCAGGGCTCTGGGGGGCTGCCGCTTCCCTCATCACCATGCTCCACAGGCCCCAAAATATCGAGGTTAGGGCAGAGTGGGGCCGGCCGCTCACGTGCTCTAGCTTAGAAATAAAGAACATGCAGTGAACAAGCTGTTCACCAAAACACTAGCACAATTTCAGCTTGGACTCAGACAAGTGGGCACGCCACCCTGGCTCCCCACTCCACTCCCACCCTCACCAACCCGATGGAGCCAATGAGGTTTCCTCTGCCCGTGGTCAAGTCCAGCATGGTCTCTGGGTGGGGCACAGAGCTAACAGGTTTGGTTACTAATCCATAGATGGAAGGTTTGGGTCTGCCCCGAGGTGACCTGGAAGAAAGGGCTGACGATCTACTTTGGAAAACTCAGCCAATGCCAATGCTGTGGAGCCCAGTTCTACTCTGATAAACCCAGGCCGCCAAGAGGTGGCCTCAACTGATGGCCACAGATGACGAAGCACGGACCACTTGACGGGCGGGAGGTGGCGGGGCTCTGCTACCGCCAGCACCCAGAAACAACAATGTCTTTCTTTTATGTGAGCTGAGTCACCCTGTCCATGGCACACCCCCACAGGCACCAGTGGCTAGCCAGCCGTAAGACCAGCCCTTCACTGTCACCTTGGTGACAGACTCGGAAAGGTCAGGCATGGAGCTGCACCACCTTGTACTCCAGGGACCGCCACTAGGCCTCAGGTGCAGGAAGGTCAGGGGACAAATTCCTCCTCCTCCGAGGGCAGGGCTTCCCGAGAACGTGCCACCTGCCAAGGATGCTGTCACGGAGCACAAAGGCTCAGATGTCGGGGAACCTCCGCTACGTCCAGGACTGGAGACACCCCACGACGTCTTAACTCCTGCACCGAGCCCCTAAGCACAGCAACATGACGTGCTGTCTTTGGGTCTATCTCCCCCAGCCAAGAAATCCTCACCCACCAAGTGTCAGCAGCTATCATCAGGCGAGAACAAAGGCACAAGAGTAGGCATCGCCCACACAATGCAGCAAGGCCGCACTCCACACCCCAAGCCATGGGCTGCACACCTCTGCACAGCTCAGCAAAGATGCTCCCCTGCAGCCCAGGGCAGGAGGTGCTCCCGACATCATCCTGCTGGGACAAAATGCCCCTGGGGGATGATCTAGCTGACACCAGTGGGGGCACCCTCACATCCTCGGGGCCCAGGGCCACGGCAGTGGCAGGAACTAGGCCAGGCTGGCTGTGTCCCCTCCAGGAGGGAATCACGGCTCCATCACAGCAATGCAAGCTAGCTTCTCAGTTCAGTTCGGCCGCTTACCTAGCAAGCCCCTCAGATCCACCAGGGTCGCCCTCGGGGAGGGGCTGGAATGAAGCCAGGTTGCCAATTCAGTGCTCGCTATAGCAAAGTCACAGGCTGAGCGAAGCACCAAGGAAAGAGGGACTAGAGGACGGAAGAGGACTGGCCACCCCAACCCAGAGGGCAGCAGTCAGGGGAGCTCCACGTGGAACGCAGCCTGCCAGGCAAAAAGGCAGCACAGGGGCCCCGCAGTCACAGCTGAAAAGCCAAGGCCTGCCTCCACATGGAAGTCCCGTGAAGGGCAATCTTATCTGCTTCTCCCGGCTGCTGCCACGTTATCAGCAGTGGCATCTACAGGCAGAAAGGACACAGAGGCTGAGCCACTCCATAGACTTAAAAATATGAGCTCCAATTGGGTGGCTAAGAATGCGGAGGAGTCCAAGAATAGAAGCGAACTTATATGGGCAACTGATTTTTGACAAAGGGGCCAGGGTAATTCTACGGGGACAAGG